AGCCCTTAACGGTAATATAATATTCAACAAATCTGGTATATACTTGATTAAATAATTTGCCATACCAAGAATTCTTAATAGTTCTTTTTTATTCTTTGGAGTTTCTAACGTCAAAATCGCTTCTATGTAATTACCATCAGGTTTTACACCCTCTTTAGAATATATTTGTCCTAAATATTTAACTTAACTTTACATTGAAATTTCTCTTGATTAAACTTACGATTATACTTTCTCGCTCTGTCTATGACACACCTCAACATCTCATCATGCTCTTTTTCATCAACATCTGCTATAATTATATCATCGAAGTATATTTTTAAGTTTAAGTCACCGAACATTTTTTCATTGATTCTTTGAAAAACTTCTGGGCTTGAGGCCAAACCAAATGGTAGTCGTTTAAACCTATATTTACCAAACGGTGTTATAAACATGCAAATTTTGCTACTCTCCTCATCTAGTGGAAAATGATAAAATCCATCTTTCATGTCTAACACAGAGAAAATGCATTTACCTTGAAGCTTTCTTCTGATCTCCTCAGATGTGGGAATAGGATGCCTATCTAAACATAAATTTTTATTCAAATACAATGGGTCCAAACATCATCTCAAACTTCCATCTGCCTTTTCTACACAAACGATATTATTCACCCACTCTCTATAACATCTCTTTGTCCCAACTTTTTTAGTGTTACTGTCAATTTTGATTTGACTGTGCTGGCAACCGTCTACAACCACTTATAGTTGGACAATAATTATTTTTCAAAACAATTTTATATACAAAGGAAGTTTTACCTGTACCTTCGAACACATCTGTGTTTGCTTTAACAAAATTTAGCTTGGCTTTTCTTTGTAAGTCAAAATCTATCTCGTCAACTCTTCTTATCAAATTTAATCGTTTACAAGCATTAATTCCAAATAATGGCTTTCCTTTATTATTTACAACAACAAATTTTATCGAATATGTTTTGCCCCTAACTAAACACTTTAAAATTATATGTCCAACTACATCCAGATTATGATTAACATATGACATTAAAGAATAATAAGCTTTTCTTATTTCATGCTCTTTCTCTAATTTTTTCACATAATTAATTGGCAATACATTACATTGAGCACCACAATCTAATTTTATATTAAAAAATTCATTATCGATCAATACTGTTTCGAACCATTTTTTTTTTCTCATTAAAATTTGAAGAGTTTATGTTACTTACTTCAATAGCATCAATCACCAGCTCACTATCACTTTCATTCCCAACCTCATGTACTTCTGGCCTTCTACCATTGTCTCTGTATCGGCTACCACTGAAACCAGCACCAGGATTTTGTTGATTTTTAAATTATTGACACCCCATTGAAAAGTGACCAAGTCTGCCACAACTATTGCACTTTTTCCCAAAAGCAAAACACTGCCCTCTTGAATGGCTTTTTTCTGAAGCAATCAAATGTATCCTGATTCCTTAGACTTTTACTGAACTCTGATTTCCTTGGATCTACCATGTTTGTTTTATTTACAGCTCCTTTTCTCTTTATCACTGAATCAACCTTTTGTCCCTGAAGCCCTTTGGCTTGTAATTTTGTGACTTCTGAAGACCTACATATTTCTTCTGCGGTTTTCAAGTCTAAATCTTTGCTTAATAATTTTTTTTGGAGACTTAAATTTCGAATACCTAGCACAATTCTGTCTTTTATCAAAGACTCTTCTTGTGTTTCAAAGTTGCAATGTTTTGCCATGATTTTGAAATCCTTTAAAAAATTATCAAAACTTTCACACTCTCTTTCAGAGCGAGAAAAGAATATGAATCTGTTATAAGTAACATTACTTCTAGGTTTGCAATAGTTATCAAAAGCCTCTACGACCTTCTCGTACTTTTTGTTCTCTGCGTCTGTTAACTTGAATGTATTGAAGACATCAATAGCTTCCTCACCTGCAGCTGTGAGGAACAAAGCTATTTTTCTTTCCTCCTCAGATTTATCTTGTAACCCTGTTGCTAACAGTTTTATCTCAAACCTTTGTTTAAATTTCTCATAATTACTAGCTAATATTACTGATCAAACAATAAAGGCGAGGGCAATTTTATATCCATGATTAATGATTATGATTATGATAAGATAATTATTACACTACAACTTCTAACCTCACAAATTTACTTGTTGATTTCTTCATTTGTTTTCCAATGTGCTTCCGGCCAACTGTTGCTAACACTAAGCCACTATTTTACCCCACACCTGACACCATGTTACATATTTGTTTAATGTTTATTTTCCAATAAAACAACTTAATGAACATTTAAACACTCTCCTGAGGACTGACTTGGCGCCACTGATCATATGACAGATAACAAGTGGCTGCCTACATAATGGAGAACGTTCAATAACAACCCTATATGTAACAAATATGGCCCATTTCAAACTAATAATGTGTCAATTGTTAGTATTTTCGGAGAATTGATTTCGGAGTATTGATTTCGGAGTTATCGCAGTAATTAAATTTAGAAAAATGTTAACAACGTGACATCATCGTACAGGTATTATCTCTGCCAGGATATAAATGTAAATAAAATTGGTAAATTTAAGGGTTTTTTTTGCAAGGAGTTTATTTATTTCCATCTGTTCACGTTTTGGTTTGTTATTGACTTTCAAATAGTGTAAATCATAACTTGCATTTTTATCACTTATCTAGTAAAAATAGAAAATGTACGGTTTTATTAAGTTGCAAATTGCACTCAATGACATTTCTGCACTCTGCACTAAGCCAAATCTTCATTATGAAAATATTAATTTTTGTTAAAAGGTTCTCAGAACACTCAAATCAACATGCAGATTTTGCACACTCACACTTCCCATATCATGCAATTTTTGTGAAACGGGCACAATGTTCTTTCATCAGGTGGGTGCTCTTGGGAAATCTTTCCCTGAAAATTCTGGCGGCTAAATGGGCATTATGCAACGATTCTGCCTAAACAAGTATCTGCATATTCGACGTTTGTAAACATTTTATTTTCAAAAAAGAATTAATTACGCGCGTTTCCAAGGCTTCAGCTAACTGACACAAGACAAATCAAGTGTGTGTGTTGTCTTGCCAGATGTTTAGATACCGATTTACGAGTGAAATTTTCATGTTGTTTTAATAATTGAATAAACTAAATTTTTTTACATCTCATAATGATTAAAATTTTCTTGATATTTCAAATATTTGTCGAAAAATTGTTAAAATTTCAAAGGCCTTTTTCTTAAAATGGTTGAGTTTGGACCCCATGTAGTATAAATTTTTTTTTGTTCAAAATGAGTCATATTTTCACGTGCTAAAATTTTTGTAGTCAAACCTAATACACTCTGTATTATCATAACTGGAGGGTAACGATAACAGCAGATTTGCAAACAATATCGGTTTCTTCTAGTGTTGCTCCTACGGACTTCAATTCCCTTACAGTTTGGTCAAATTTTATGGAATGGTTTTCAAGTGTTCCACCTTTCTCTAACAATTTTTTCTGATAGAGCTGGCTTGCAATGCTCTTCCGTTGAAACACTTTCGCAAATGCCAACCACATATCACGAGATGTTGGTTGGTACTCCAAGTGCGAATTAGCAACGAACTGTACAATAAGGTTTTTACATTTCTTGTCTAGCTTTACTACGTTTTGTGAATTTTGATTTATGGCCCGTTCCACACAAGTTTTAACTCCATTGTGATCGAGCACAGTTTCAAGTCGGAATTTCCAATGGTCATTATCTTTACCTTACGATTAAACTTTTTCACGGCGAAATTACTGCTCGAATTCGAGGCCATCTATTACTAATACGCAACCTTAGATGCTTATTTCCAAACTTACCACAATTTGGTTTCTGGATCTGCAACCTGATGGAATCTTTGAAGCACCAAATATAAGTTTGTGAATGAGTGAATGTAATTAAAAAACACGATTACACTTGATAACGATTGAACACCGTTTTAATTCATCTCGTGAAACTTACGAAACTTGACTTTTCACAGTTTGATTCCTTAATGGGATCATTTTCCCAGCAGAAAACTAGCTAGTCCAAGTTTCCTCCAAAGTCTCTTGGACTCGTCCGAAAAAAATATCGTTTCTCTCCCTGGAAGAACCTCAAGTTCTCAAGAATCTGGTTCAATGCTTCATTCGACTAAAACCAATAAAAATGATTGACTACTCTTGACAAACTATATAGTTATGTAGGTACCATCAGGTGTAGAATTTTCGCTTTCATATAAAATATGCAATTCAATCGCCAACATATTGGCTTTCATAAATGAGAAAATGGATTACCGTCGTATAAAGCCCTATTATTTCTTCCGGGTCGGGTCTATATAGGATTTCAATAATAGATCCACAGGAAAAAAAACGAATAAGCTCAGGCTCAGTAATAACGCATACCTACTCGAATCGATAAAATGATTTCCAGGAAGATATTTCATAAGGCTTCCGCAATAAATGGAAGCTATCCCGAGTATTTAAACTAGAATGACGTAGGTATATAAAAATGCAATCAGGACTAAGGCTTTGTGATTGACCTAGAACTTTGAGAAGCTACGTGAAGTGCATTTTCAAAACTTTGATGATAAAATCTAATTGTTTTTTATAATGAGAAGCTACTTGAAGTGCATTTTCAAAACTTTGATGATAAAATCTAATTGTTTTTTATAATGTGTGCCCACATATGATACCCAGAGATTTTGAAGGAAACTAATTCTCAACTTTGAGTCCGCATTTTGCATTCTCATTAGAGAGATAGGGATTTGAATACAAAAACAGTTACATTTAATACATTCATAAAAAAAAAAATTCATATTATGTACCTACCTACACATTTTAATAATTATTCCTTTTATTAAATTATTCCATTCCTGCATTACATAAACCGACTTTAATTCAATTAAAATATAAATTTAATAAAACATTGGGAAAAAAGCTGAAACACAAACAAATTTCAAGTACTTGCCTATGTTTTCATTTAATTTTAATCAGAGAATTCTCTTTCCAGGAAACACAGCTAGCTGGTTTTTGTAAAAAAGTAAAAGATTTCTGTCCACAAATACCCGGACCAAAAGGGGAGCGTGGAGATCGGGGCCTACCTGGACCAACAGGTACTTGTATACTTGATAAAACTAAAAACATTTACGTGATTTTTTTCGAAGGTCCCATCGGTCCTCCTGCTCAAAAAGGTGAAGCAGGTCCAATCGGCCCTACAGGTCATCCTGGAGTTCCAGGCGAACGCGGTTTAGGTGGTAATCCAGGAATGCCTGGATTTCCAGGTGAAAAAGTGAGTTTATTCTGTTCCACTTTTTACACTCAGAATTTATGTACCAAACAAAGTTTGAAACACTATAAAGGTAAACATCTATTGCCTTTGTATTCTTAGGGTGAACAAGGTCGTCCTGGACTTGACGGTAGAATTGGTATTCCTGGAACACCGGGTCTCGACGGAATGCCGGGAAGAAATGGACATGATGGCATACCAGGAAAAGACGGTACTTCCGGCAGAGATGGTAGAGACGGAACTAATGGTACAAATGGGGTTTGATAATAATTCCTTCATATCTTTTGATATTTTTTTTAGGTCAAAAAGGTGACCGTGGATTGCCAGGTCCGCAAGGTCCACCAGGACAGAGAGGAATTTCTGGTCCAAGAGGAAAAGCGGGTAGGCCTGGCACTAACGGTACACCCGGTTTACCTGGTGTATCCGCTTACAAGCTTGGCGATAAAAATGTTACTGATTTGCTTATACCGCCATCAATTGCCGGTAAGTAAAGAAAATTTTATAACCAATAACTATTTTTATCGAACATAAACTCCGCTTAAAACAACGTGGTGGTGACATCTCTGTCCCATTGTTATTGATCAAGCTTTAATAGGAAAATGTGTTTACTCTGGATATAAGCTCCTGGCACCATGTTTATAATGATTTCAAATAAAATAAAAAGTGCGTTGTATTGCTTCAATATTTCACATTGACATCATCAACAATAGAGCTTTAAAAAAGAAACAGTGATTAATTAGGTTTACGAGCAGTTGATTGATTGCACCGCGCGGTTGTCATAGGACTTAACTGAATTGCAAGAAAGGTTTTGGAGACTGCACACCTGGGAAATTCATTTGACGAGGGAGTTTTTCTCGAAAATATTATTTTATGATAAATGTGCTTTAAAAATAAAATATTGCTTTAGAAAGATAAATTTGTTTTAGGGTCTCAAAAAGGCCAAATGGGACCCATCATTGTACACGAAACCGAAAATGTGCGTTTACATTGTTCAGCTACAGGTTCTCCTTCTCCTAGGATTACCTGGCAGAAGATTGATAATCGACCTATCAACAGGGGAGCATGGCAAGGTAAGTATTGAAACAATTTTTTTTCCAAAAATTTTCCAATGGTAATGACTTGATTTTAATTATGACGCAGGTGATGAACTAAATCTGTTTTTTATATTCCCATATTATACAACAAATTCATATTTCCCACTACACGCAACCTACAACATTAAAGGTAATAAGCTTTTTTCCTCTCGAATCACCTTCTTCCCTCATTCTGAATTCTTAATTCTTGTACCCCTTAAAATTTACTACTTTTCCGCTAAAGCTAGTAGTCCGGGGGCCGAGGACCTTTTTTCCAAATCATTAATAACAAGCTAGTTTTTTCAATGCAGCTTCACTTCACCGAGACGCCCAACTTTTTTCTCTTCGAAAATTGCGAAAACAGGTAGCTAACATACTGCGCAGGTGTAAAACATGTCGATTTGGTGACTATAAAAATTTAATTAATAACAGTTAGTTTTTCAGCTAAATGTTGACATAATTTTATGAATAATTTGAAACAACATTTGTCCGACAAAATAAAGGGTTTGGTCTACGATGTCCCCACCCTCAAACATGTAGCAATTACGTTGCATAAAAAATGATTAATAACAAGTTGATTTTTTCAATGTAGGTTGGTAAATATTATTACAATTAAATGGTCACACTGTCCTACAAATAAACAGGTAGCTATTTTCAGTCCTACACTCAAAAGTTGTCGATTTCACGATTTAACTTTTTTCATTAATAACCGGCTAAATCTTCGTGAGTATCTTCATTTTGATAAGACGCCCAAATTTTCTGTTGCGAAAATTCCAAAAACAGGTAGCTAACAGAGTGCGCAGGTGGAAAACATGTCTATTTGGTGATCATACAAATGTAAATAATAACAGTTAATTTTGTAGCTGAATGTTGAGATAGTTTCATAAATAATATGAAACAACATTTGTCCGACAAAATAAATGGTTTGATCTAGGCTGTCTCCCTTCTCAAACCTGTAGCAGATACGTTACATAAAAAATGATTTATAACCAGTTGATTTTTTCAATGTAGCTTAGTAAATATTACTACAATTAAATGGTTACACTGTCCTACAAATAAAGAGGTACATTTCTCCAGTCCTACACTCAAAAGTTGTCGACTTCGCGGTAATACTTTATTCATCAATCACCGGCTAAATCTTCTCGCGCATCTTCGTATTGATAATACGCCTAACTTTTCTATTGCGAAAAGTTGCAAAAGTAGTAGCTACTAGAGTGAGCATTAGTGAGCACATGTAAAATACCTTGATTAGGTGATTATGCAAATGTAATTATTAACAGTTAACAGTTGATTTTTCAGGTGAATAATGAGATAATTTTATAAATAATTCGAAATTCGATTTGAGCCACAAAATAAATGATTTGGTCTGCAGTGTCCCCTTTCTCAAAAATGAAGCAATTACTGGCTCATAAAAAACTATTTATAACCAGTTGATTTTTTTACTGTAGTTTGGTAAATATAACTACAATTGAATGGTCACATTGTCCTAAAGAGGTAAGATTTCTCAGCCCTACATTCGAGAATTTCGAAAATAGGCTTATGCATATTATACGTAAATATGTACAGGGCTTTCATTTCAAAACTTGCCACTCACGTTATCTGCGTAAATAGACTTCTAGAAATCGCCGAAACATGTCAACAAATTTATTGAGGGGGTGCGTTAATTTGTTGACGTGTTCCGGCGATTTCCAGAAATCTGTCTCTTTAGGCAGATAACGTGGGTGGCAAATTTCGAAATGAAAGCCCCCGTATGTACATATGTACGTATACAGATGCGTGTATAACAGTATATGTGTTATGTGTATGTACACATACCTACATTTATGTCGATGGTTTCCATTCGCATCGACGCGCATACTCGTAAATAACACAGTATCGTAGTATAGGGTGATTCAAAAAGCGCGCCAGATTTGAATTGCTCGAAAAAGAGTTTTGGCATGCCATCAAAGTAGAGGGGGCCATGCCCTTTGTCATTTTCCATACCTAGATGGAGAAGGTTTGATCCAACCGGTTCATCTTAATTCTAAAAATATTTAAAAAAATAGAGCTCCTTTTTTAATGTATTGAATCTGGCGCGACTTTTTGCTGTATATAGGGTGAATACAGGGTGTTTTCTAAAATAGAGTTTTTCTTTTTAAATAACGTGGAACTTAAAAAAATACCAGAGTTTTCCAAATAATATTTTCTCGACAGCTCAAAATTAAAAGAGATAGGTATGTTCATTTCAAATAATATCAAAAATCAAATATTTTCATAATCATTATATTTTTCAAAATACAAAAGGTAAAATTCTTGAATTTAATCTTTTTTTCCAGAAATCTGTCTCTTTACGCAGATAACGTGGGTGGTAAGTTTTGAAATGAAAGCCCTGTACCTACATATTTACGTATAATAAGCATAAGGCTATTTTCGAAATTCTCGAATGTAGGGCTGAGAAATCTTACCTCTTTAGGACAATGTGACCATTCAATTGTAGTTATATTTACCAAACTACAGTAAAAAAATCAACTGGTTATAAATAGTTTTTTATGAGCCAGTAATTGCTTCATTTTTGAGAAAGGGGACACTGCAGACCAAACCATTTATTTTATGGCTCAAATCGAATTTCGAAATATTTATAAAATTATCTCATTATTCACCTGAAAAATTAACTGTTAACTGTTAATAATTACATTTGCATAATCACCTAATCAAGGTATTTTACATGTGCTCACTAATGCTCACTCTAGTAGCTACTACTTTTGCAACTTTTTGCAATAGAAAAGTTAGGCGTATTATCAATACGAAGATGCGCCAGAAGATTTAGCCGGTGATTGATGAATAAAGTATTACCGTGAAGTCGACAACTTTTGAGTGTAGGACTGGAGAAATGTACCTCTTTATTTGTAGGACAGTGTAACCATTTAATTGTAGTAATATTTACTAAGCTACATTAAAAAAATCAACTGGTTATAAATAATTTTTTATGTGACGTATCTGCTACATGTTTGAGAAGGGAGACAGCCTAGATCAAACCATTTATTTTGTCGGACAAATGTTGTTTCATATTATTTATGAAACTATCTCAACATTCAGCTACAAAATTAACTGTTATTATTTACATTTGTATGATCACCAAATAGACATTTTTTCCACCTGCGCACTCTGTTAGCTACCTGTTTTTGGAATTTTCGCAACAGAAAATTTGGGCGTCTTATCAAAATAAAGATACTCACGAAGATTTAGCCGGTTATTAATGAAAAAAGTTAAATCGTGAAATCGACAACTTTTGAGTGTAGGACTGAAAATAGCTACCTGTTTATTTGTAGGACAGTGTGACCATTTAATTGTAATAATATTTACCAACCTACATTGAAAAAATCAACTTGTTATTAATCATTTTTTATGCAACGTAATTGCTACATATTTGAGGGGGGGACATCGTAGACCAAACCCTTTATTTTGTCAGACAAATGTTGTTTCAAATTATTCATAAAATTATCTCAACATTTAGCTGAAAAACTAACTGTTATTAATTAAATTTTCATAGTCACCAAATCGACATGTTTTACACCTGCGCAGTATGTTAGCTACCTGTTTTCGCAATTTTCGAAGAGAAAAAAGTTGGGCGTCTCGGTGAAATGAAGCTGCATTGAAAAAACTAGCTTGTTATTAATGATTTGGAAAAAAGGTCCTCGGCCCCCGGACTATAGCGTTGACTTACTTCCTCGTAAAGTAATTATTAATTTTTAATAAACCGATTTCTATTTCTTATTCATTCCGCTTCGGAAGAATTTCTTATCCGGTTTTCCAATAAAAAAGAATAATACACGAGAGCGAGATGAGAAATACGGCCTCTCAAATATTTAATTTTTTCATGAATTCATGAAAAATATTCAATTGAATTAAGTGACTACAAAAGACGCCGAAAGATTTCGGGATTGAAAGGCTCTCAATTGAAACACTTCGGAGAAAACAACAGATATTATGTTGGAAAAAACCTCATCATTTTATTTCTAAGTCTCAAATTAAGTTCAAATTCACCTTGTTTCAAATTGTTGAAAGTTTCAAGTCGATCTGATATTCCGAAGTATTTTTCAGGATTTTTCAAAGGTGATTTAACGTGAATTTTACAACTTTTTCTAGTATTAAGTTGGAAAAAAACTCATAATTTTATTTCTGAACTTCAGATTGACTTCAGATTTGCCTTGTTTGATGAAAACATCCTGGTTATTAAATCCTGAAAGCTTGAAATCGATCTGATACTCTGAAGTATTTTTCAGGATTTTCCAAACGTGATTTGACGCGAATTTTCCAACTTTTTCTGATATTAAGTTGAAAAAATCCTCATAATTTTATTTCTGAGCCACAAATTGACTCTAAATTTACATTGTTTGATGAAAACATCCCTGTTAACAAATCCTGAAAGTTGGAAATTGATCTCATACTCTGAAGTATTTTTCAGGATTTTTCAAATGTGATTTGACGTAACTTTCCAACTTTATCTGGTATCAAGTTGGATTTTTTTTTAATTTTCTTTCTGAGCTTCAGATTGACTTTAAATTTGCATTGTTTGATGATAACATCCTGGCTAACAAATTCTGAAGCTTTGAAATTGATCTGATACTCCGAAGTATTTGTCAGGATTTTTCAAGTGTGATTTGACACGAATTTTCCCACTTTTCCTGTATTAAGTTGTAAAAAACCTCATAATTTTATTTCTGAGCCTCAAATTAACTTCAAATTTACCTTGTTTAATGAAAACCTCCTGGTTAATGAATCCTGAAAGTTTCAAGTCGATCTGATACTCAGAAGTATTTTTCAGGATTTTTCAAATGTGATTTTACGTGAATTGTTCCACTCCCACTTTTCCTGGTATTAAGTTGTAAAAACCTCATAATTTTGTTTCTGAGCGCCAAATTGACTTTAAATTTGCATTGTCTGATGAAAACATCCGGGTTAACAAATCCTGAAAGTTGAAAATCGATCTAATACTCCAAGTATTTTTCAGGAATTTT